GTGACTGGGAGCGGCCACTGCACTCCAGTCTGGGTGACAGAGTGAGACTCCAACTCAAAAAAAAAAAGTGATTTAAAGGGTAAAAGGGGACGGGCGCGATGGCTCACGCCTATTAATCCCAGCACTCTGGGAGGCCAAGGTGAGAGGATTGCCTGAGCCCACGGGTTTGAGACCAGCCTGGGCAACTTGGTGAGACCTCATCTCTACAATAAGTTAAAAAATTAGCTAGGCATGGTGGTGTGCGCCCGTAGTTCCAGTTACTTGGAAGGCTGAGGTAGAAGGATCGCCTGAGCCTAGCACGTTGAGGCTGCGATGGCCGTGAACGTGCCACTCCACTCCAGCCTGGGTGATAGAGTTAGACTCCTACTCAAAAATAAAAATAAAAATAAAGGGATGAGGAATTATCACCTTTACCCCATCACATAGAAACACATGGATAGGTGGCACACAACATCAGTAAGGGTACCTGATCTCAAACCAGACTAAGTGGGGACCAAAGGGAGACCCAAAGTTTACCTGTAGGATGACCACTTTTATACCTAATCCTGAATTGTACCCCACATCTTTAAAATAAAAATTAAAAATTTTTAAATGTTTTTTTAAAAGAAACATATGGATACTAGACTTTATGGGTCATGGGGGTGAGGCGGGGGGTCTTCTAAGACAACAGAGAATCATACCACCCAGGAAAAGGGTTGGTGACAAGAATCAGGAATCGACTGACTATGCTGCCTGCCACTCCAGTTCAATGCCCTAGTCCCTCCCCAGTGCTGTCCTTTCTCAAAGATGAGTAATCGTCAGCCATGCAAAGATACACAAAAAAAGAAAAGGAGCATACTAAATTTTTAATAGGCAAAACAAAAAAATTCTGCTCTCCAATTAGGTAAAGATGAATAAATGTTTCTCCACGGAGACAACAAAGCTAAACAGGGGGAGGAGAGGACAAATAAAAGGACTAAGAACAATCAATGGAAATAAAAAATGAAGAAGACTGACGAAAATATAATCAGGAGGGCAACCCCTTTGGTCCCCTCCCACTGTGGGAGCTTTTCTGTCCTCTCAATAAATCTTGCTAAAAAAGAAAATATCCTCAAGAACAATGGAGGATGAACCTTACGTTTTGGAAGAAAAGGAAAAGAACTTGTAGAGCAAGGGAGCGTGACGTTTTCACTTCTGTTACTGAGCAGCCCACTGGCACTCAGCACACGGGGTTCCACAATGTCTGTGGAATATAATACCTTGTACTGTTCTCCCCAGGTAATCACCACGCCTCTCTTTATTGATCACGTGTTGATATATCTTCCCAGTGGTGATGTTGTTGTTTTTATAAAGATTAATATCCAAAAATCTTTCATAATTTCCAAGGTCTAAATCAACTTCTCCACCATCATTTAAGACAAACACTTCACCTAGGATAAAAAGGGCAATGCAAAAATTAAAAATGTGGTTCCAACAGATTATTTTTCAAAGAAGGACACATTTTTATTAAAGAGCTGGTAAAAGATGTATTTATAAGCCATATTCTACCAACATCTCCTTATTTTGATGGGGAAATTTAACAATTCAATTCTATCCCTGAAAATGCATCAAAAAAATTCTTTTTTTTTTTTTTTTGAGTTGGAGTCTCACTCCATCATCCAGACTACAGTGCAGTGGCACCACCGCAGCCTCAACCTGCTGGACTCGGGCGATCCTTCCACCTTAGCCTTCCAAGTAGCTGGAACTACATACAGGCGTGCACTACCACGTCCAGCTAATTTTTTTGATTTATTGTAGAGATGAGGTCTCGTCAAGTTGCCTGGGCAGGTCTCGAACCCACAGATTCAGGCAATCCACTCACCTTGGCCTCCCAAAGCGCTGGGATTACAGGCTTAGCCACCAAGCCCAGCCCAAAAAACTTCTATTAATAGTCTTCTATGGCCAGGCTCAGTGGCTCAGCCTGTAATCCCAGCACTTTGGGAGGCTGAGGCAAGTGGATTGCCTGAGCCTGCGGGTTCAAGACCAGCCCGGGCAACTTGGTGAGACCTTGTCTCTACAATAAAATTAAAAATAGCCAGGCATGGTAGCATGTGTCTGTAGTTCCAGCTACTTGGAAGGCTGAGGCAGAAGGATTGCCAGAGCCCAGCAGGTCGACGCTGGGGTGGCCATGAGCGTGCAAACCACTGCACTCCAGCCTGGATGGAGGACTGAGACTCCAACTCCAAAAAAAAAGAAAAAAATGGTCTTCTACTACGGTATTTTTTATTAACTTTTTAATAAAGATAGGTTGTCGCTGTATTGCCCAGGTTGTTCACAAATTCCTGGCCTCAAGGAATCCTCCCACCTCAGCCTCCCAAAGTGCTAAGATTATAGGCATAAGCCACCACTCCTGGCCCTATTATGGTATTTTTTTTTAATTCTACTAAAATTCTGTCTTCAAGACTTAGCTTTCCCAAACTCACCATATGCCCATGAAAAATGACTTTAAAAGAGCAATTTGAAAACAAACAGCAATTTACTTCAAAGCATGGGTATCCTGGACTCTGGAACTGGCATAAAAAAGTTACTTAATTCCCATTTTGGTTAATGCCACAACCAAAAGATGAAAAAGTAGGGTCACTGCTACCCCACAGGGCAACTTGGTCAAGTGAGGAGGAAAAAAGTGTTTGTAATATGCCACCTGCACAATAGCACTGTGACAAAGGACATAGGTATAGACTTCATCACACAGTGGCCATGAGCGTGCCACTGCACTCCAGCCTGGGTGACAGAGTGAGACTCAAACACACAAAAAATAAAAATAATAATAATAATAATAAAGAATTAAACCTCTCCCTGCCTCTTCCTAATTGAGGAAACTACCACATACTCCTACTGCTAGATGTTCACAGCAAAAAAGAAGGTTGACTGGCTTACGAACCTAATCAGAAGCCTTATACATCCTCATTGATGTCTCCCTTATAAGGTACATAAGTATGATCTGGAAGATTAACTTTAAGGGCAAAAGAGCAAATTGATGAAATTGCCATATTTTTTTATTTCCCAAATTCCATTTTAAGTCCAAATTCTACTTTCTTATGTTAGTCAGGAATCACCAATCTCTGGAAAAGTATTTTTCCTTTGATCGTCTTAACTTGTGATGTACTTTTATGGGGGTAAGGTTAGAGGAAATATCTAAAATTTCTTGAGCTAATTAAGGTCAAATCCAGTTTGGCAATACTCCAAGTATATGCCAAAGGTCACAAAATTTTAAATTACCAAATTTTAAAAGTATGCACACATTTTGTTCCTAGAAGCGATAGATAAACTGTGGATGTCAAGACTTCAAAAACAGTTTTTCGGTATGTCATTATAATAAAAATTCCAACAGATTTTTTTAAACTTGACAATGGCACTAACGTTAATTTGGAAGAAAACCAGATGAGATTACTAAAACAATAAATAAGCACTATAAAGAATAATAGTGTGTAAAGGAAGACTGAAATAAATATATAAGTATGGTATAAGATAACATCAACAAATGCACAAAACCAAAACCCTCAAAAGGTTTTTATTACATAAAGGAATGTAGTATATGAGTTTTTTTTAAAAAGACCACTCAAAGTAGATAAAATACTCAGAAATACACCTCAAAGAAAGGTGGAGGACATATATAAAGAAAACCTTAAAACTTTACTTTAGAGACATAAAAGAATGAATGTAGCAATAAAATGAGAGACATTTATAAAGTTTCTAAAGGAGCCAGTTAATATTTTCTGTTTAATTTTTCCCCAAATTAACTTATTGCTTCAATATCTGTCAAAAATCCCAATGCAATTTCCTTTTTTTGTGTGTGTATGTGAGTTGGAGTCTCACTTTGTCACCTAGGCTAGAGTGCAGTGGCATGCTCATGGCCACCACAGCTTCGACCTGCTGGGCTCAGGTGATCCTTCCACCTCAGCCTTCCTAGTAGCTGGAATTACAGGCACGTGCCACCACGCCCATCTAATTTTTTGATTTATTATAGAGATGAGGTCTCACCAAGTTGCCCAGGCTGGTCTCAAACCCCTGGTCTCAGGCAATCCTCTCGCCTCGGCCTCCCAAAGTGCTGGGATTACAGGCTTGAGCTACCACACCCGGCCCCAATGCAATTTCTTATAAAACTTGACAGAATGATTCCTAAGTTAAACTTAAAGACACTGAACATTTTGAGGTCAAAAAAAGAAAAAAATGAATAATGAGAGTCTTTAAGTACTTGGTACTAGACAGTTGCAGCTATTAAAATGGCACTCAGGAATAAGCAAAGAGATCAAAGAAACAGAACAGAGTATGCAACCAGATAGACCTAAGTATACACAGAAATTGATCACATGCTGATGTATCTTCCTAGTAGTGATCAGATATGGCATTTAGTATATGATAAAAGGTGGTATTTTAAGTCAGTGGAGAAAGGATGAAATCTTCAACAAATGTCATTAGGAATAGTTGGCTAATCAGAAAACCATTAGGAAAAATGATGTTCCATACCTCATACCAAATTAAATTCCAGACGGGTTAACAATGTTAAAGCAAAAGCAAATGAAATTATAAAAGTGCTAAAAGAAAATACAGATGAGTCAGACATGGTGGCTCACACCTGTAATTCCAGCACTTTGGGAGGTGGAGGTGAAAGGATTGCCTGAGTCCAGGGGTTTGAGACCAGTCTGGGCAACTTGGAGAGACCTCATCTATACAGTAAATCAAAAAACTAGCTGGGTGTGATGGCATGCACCTGTAGTTCCAGCTACTTGGAAGTCTGAGACAGAAGGATCGCCTGAGCCCAACGGGCCGAGGCTGGGGTGACCATGAGTGTGCCACTGCTCTCCAGCCTGGGCGACAGAGTGAGACTCCTACTCCAAAAAAAAAAAAAAAAAGAAAACAAAATACAGGCCAGGCATGGTGGCCCAGCCTGTAGTCCCAGCACTTTGGGAGGCCGAACCAAAAGGACTGCCTGAGCCCAGGGGTTCAAGACCAGCCTGGGCAACTTGGTGATACCTCATCACTACAACAATTCACAAAAAAACTAGCTGGTCATGGTGGCGTGGGTCTGTAGTTCCAGCTACTTGGAAGCCTGAGGCAGAAGGATCACCTAAGCCAAGCAGGTCGAGGCTGCAGTGGCCGTAAGCGTGCCATTGCACTCCAGCCTGGGCAACAAAGAGTGAGACTTCAACTCAAAAAAAAAAAAGAGAAGAAAAGAAAATACAGATGAATATTTATTCCTAGGTGGAGAAGCCTAAGGTGACATCAAAGGCATAAACCATAAAGGAAATGGTACATTTAATCACATAAATGGCAAACTGAAATTTATCAAGCAACTATCAGAGGTAAAATTTCAAGCAGGATAAAAATATATACATGGGATAAATATCAGTTAATATACTTTACATGAATTATTCTTAAAAATCGTAAGAGAAAAACTGGTTAACACATGCATTAGTCAATTGTGCTGCATAATAAAATCTCAGCAACTTATAAAACATTTATTTCTCTCTCATGTTACATGGGGTTTGCGGGTCATTTGTGAGTCTATTCTTTATGTCTCTTCATTCCAGGAATCAGGCTGAATAAAAAATCCCTGCATACAGCAGGCTGTTTTCATGGATGGCAGACAGTAAAAGCACAGAGAGACTGAGGCAAACTGTACAGTTGCATCTAACATTTCTGCTTCAACAAGGTATATGTCACATTCACTAACATCTCATGGGACAAAACAAATCACATGGCCAAATAGAGTGACCAACTTCTTTTGTTTGTACAGGACTAAGGCGGTTTCCAGGACTTGGGACTTTCTGGGGTTTTTTGTTTTGTTTTGTGTTTTAGAAACAGTCTCAGCCGGGCTCGGTGGCTCAGCCTGTAATCCCACGCTTTGGGAGGCTGAGGTGAGTGGATTGCCTGAGCCCACGGGTTTGACCCGCCTGGTCAATTTGGCGAGACCTCATCTCTACAATAAATCAAAAATTAGCCGGGCGTGGTAGCGCACGCCTGTAGTTCTGGCTACTTGGAAGGCTGAGGTGGAAGGATCGCCAGAGCCCAGTAGGTTGAAGCTGTGGTGGCCGGGAGCATGCCACTGCACTCCAGTCTGGGCAACAGAGTGAGACTCCAACTCAAAAAAAAAGAAACATAGTCTTGCTCTATGGCCCAGGCTGGAGTGCAGTGGTGCAGTCATGGTCCACTGCAGCCTCAAACTCCTGGACTCCAGCGACCCTCCTGCCTTAGTCTCCTGAGTAGCTGGGACTAGAGGTGCATGACACCATGCTTGGCTAATTTTTTCATTTTTTATAGAGATGGGGTCTCACTATGTTTCACATGCTGGCTCAAGCGATCCTCCCACTTCAGCCTCCCAAAGTGCTGGGATTAGAGATGTGAGCCATCACACCTACCCAACTTTCAATTTTTTTTTTTAATTTTTTATTTTAAAGATGTGGGGTACAACGATTTTCAGTTTTAAAACCAGGAAATTTCCAAACAAACCAGGACAAGTTAACTACCCTATATGGCGAAGTCCAAGGTCAAGGGGAGAGGAAATGGGCTCCCCAGAAGGATAGTGGGTGACATTTTCAAACAAAAACACAATCTACCACAGACTTAAATTCACAAACAAAACCAAAATCAAGTCTAAATGAAAACAATGAGATATCCTTTTTTATTTGTTTTGCTCTCAAGGTCAGTAAAGTTTAAAAATAATATTCAGGGCCAGGCATATTGACTCATGCTTATAATCCCAACACTTTGGGAGGTTGAGGCAGGAGGATTGCTTGAGGCCAGGAGTTTGAGACCAGCCTGACCAACAAAGCGAGAACCCATCTCTACAAAAAATGAAAAAAGTAGTCAGGAATGGTGGTGATTGCCTGTAGTCCCAGCTACTTGGGAGGCTGAGGCAGGAGGACCACTTGAGCCCAGCAGTTTAAAGCTAAGGTGGGCCAAGATCATGCCACTGCTCTCCAGCCTGGGCAACAGAGATCTCTACTCAAAAAAAAAAAAACTTATAAAAATAAATAAAAATTTATATATAAAATTAATAAAATAATTTAAAAATAGTATAGCTATAAGATTCGATCCATTTAAAGTTCAAAAGTGCCGAGCTCGGTGACTCAGCCTGTAATCCCGCGCCTTGGGAGGCTGAGGTGAGTGGATTGCCTGAGCCTGAGGGTTCGAGACCCGCCTGGGCAATGTGGTGAGACCTCATCTCTACAATGAATCAAAAAAATTAGCTGGGCGTGGTAGCACGTGCCTGTAGTTCCAGCTACTTGGAAGGCTGAGGCGGAAGGATCGCCGGAGCCCAGAAGGTCGAGGCTGCAGTGGCCAGGAGCGGCCACTGCATTGCAGTCTGGGCGACAGAGTGAGACTCCAACTAAAAAAATAAAAAATAAAGTTCAAAAACAAGCAAAACTACTGTATGTATGTGTTAGAAGACAGGATAGGAACAAGGGACACAAAGATTTCTGTTTCTTGATCAGGGCTGGTTACACAGTATGTTCATTTAATGGAAATTCATCCAGGTGTATGACTTATGCATCTTTTGCTTGAATGTGGAAAATTTTTGAAGAGTATATAAGGCCTAATGCCTTTTAAAAAATAATTCGAATATATTAATACATCAAAATGTCAAATTAATAATAGTTACTACAGGCAGTAAGAAATATTAAGAGAAATATATTACCTTTATGATAAAATAAAGCAAACATAATCCATAGTGCAAAAGGCACAATGTCTCCAAACAGTTGGCTAATTTGGAATGTCATCAGCCATCTGAACAATGACCATGAGAATATTTTCATATTCAAAACATGTCATTCACCCAATCTACTTCTGGAACTATATACTAAAGAAATTAGCCAAAATAGAAGAAAGAATTGCAGTCGAGCCTAGTGCTATAAAGGGGAAGTGGTTCTCCTTCATACCATGTTCATAAGGTGAAAAAGTACCAGCATCGATGTTAATATAGGGGTCAATTTTGATGGCAGTAACCCGGAGTCCACATGATTTTAGAATCATCCCAATACTGCTGGCGATGATCCCTTTACCAATGCCTGAGATGACTCCACCAGTGACCAGGATGTACTTCATTGGCAGAGGAGTGGCAGGGTGCCAGCACCCAGATATAATCTGAAAGGCAATAAAATGAAGGGTCAGGGAAGAAAAACATTTTTTCAAACCAGACAGCTGAGCTGAGGATATGTTCAACCAGAATTTCTTCCTCCTTTTTTTTTTTTTTTTTTGAAACAAGGT